CTGATAAAAGCTGTACACGAATATATACAATAAAACAATCCCACGTCATTAATTGAAATTATATCTCAATTTCCTAAGTATCTCCGATATGTATCAAAATGCTACGATTTGAAAGTGGCGCGATAGCTGTCCGGCTATCAGAAAGAAGCATTGCTCTGACAATATTGATCATGATATAAAGCAGAAGCCGGCTGTCGCGAGGAAATATAATGGTGCATGATCGATATAATGTACGTGTTGTGCATAAATCTTGTTTCCAAGATCCCCGCCAGTAAAAATAAAGATGTGAACAGACAGTGTCTGCGAACGATAAAGTGAATGATGAAATGTGTTATCGTTTATTTGGCACGAGATAACGCCTGCGGCGATGCGAGATCGCGGCACGAAGTAGATAGCATATGAACACCAATATCCCGCAACTTCTCATTTTTTGTGATCGCGGTCAAAAAATAGAATTTTTGCCTTAAAATACATTACCGGTAGCTGCGACGGGACTTGTAAAATTTAAATTAATTTTTATAGATTTTCAACAAAAATTGTTTTCTTATTTATAATAAAAAGCATCCCAAGAGATGGAAATATATATCTCAAATTAATTCAAGGGAAAACAAAGTAAAATAAGAAAATAACAAAACGCGAGTAATAAAAGATTTCTATTTCGCATAAAGTATTCGATCAAGTAAAATGAAAATAAACAAGAAACCAATATAAAGCACATGAATTGTGCGCATAATGTAAATTACTGACAAATAAATCCCGTTCGATTTGACTTCAAGCTAAGCTGATAAGGTAAAGTTACAGACAGATTGTCTCATATTGTTCAAGGATAAAATTGCAACACGCTGCTACAACAGCAACCCACGAAAGCTGTACCATCGCTCGCGCTTCGTACCTACATAATTCAATAACGAAACATGCGATCAGATAACGAACGAGCGCATAGAATCTTGTCACGTGTCAACGCGATCGTATCCTCAGCAACATATGTTTCGAAACGTCACTGTCATTGTTTGTCGTAATATCAGTGAATCTAAAGAGTGACAAACCGGACTCGGCACGATTTTACAAAACGCAACAGACGGAACATTCACGCGAATAGAGGCAGCAGCGGAATTGTCCCGCTTTAAAGGTTACAATTAAAAATAAGTCGAGCCGCCTTTTCTGGAAAAATATTAATAACAGTATCGCGACTTCGGACTATATGTCAAGATCTCTGTGAGAGATAGCCGTTCATTTTCAAGATGACCCAAATAAAATCTAATAAATTTTCAGACTTAATTAAAACAAAACAAACGCGAACGCGTATGGATGCATAAGCTCAGCAAAGTTCAAACTTGATTTTTAAATGAAACAAAGCGATTTTATATACATGTATAAATCGCCAATTCAATATAACTCGTTCAAATGCTGTCTGTACAAACAATCCGATTGAACGATAACGATGATAAAACGAAATTTCCCGTTGATGCCGACGATCGTAATCAATGACACGCGAGCGACGTAAAAACAGTATACACATGCCCGATTTCGATGTACACGTTCCCCGTAATTCCACATTCCCGAACGCAGACGTAGGTGCTTGTACATTCGATGAGTTTCCGTGTCGTTTTGTTTGCCGATGCTTGTTATGCGATAGTACCTATTCATCGGACATCCAACCTGTAACGCTGGTTACAACGATAATACATGCTTGACGGTACCTGGTAACAGCGTCGAGTGAATTTATTATACGCAAGAATTTATATCCCCTTCATATCACCTGCGCGTAATAAATTTATATAGTTGAAATTAAAGCCGAAGTCTAAGGGCCAAAATAGTAAACCTGGTGTGATGCATCGTTAAAGCTGCTGACGGGACTATCGTCATCACTGCTACACTCAGTAACCGTTGACAAATAATGCTGACGTTATAAATAAATTAATTTTACTACTTTAATTATATTTAAAACTGGTATAAAGAACGAAAGAAGGAGGATTTGAAAAGAAACGATAAATCGATTATCGTACGATGTCATACGATGACTCGTACTTTTAAATTTTGTATTTTTAAAACAGTCTATCTCAAATCTTTCGCGTAGATTGTTGTAACTTTGTTAACGCTGCATCGATAGTGGTAAGCATCACCTGCTAGGACGACGTTATGTAAGCCTGACGTGCGAACCAGTAATCAAAGATCACCGCGGATGCTGCGTATGCGCGGTACGTCGCGGTCTCTTGAGAAATTACACGTCACGTGCATGTGAATGTCAGAGGACGTGCGAGTGGTCGTAACAATGGTAAATCACTACCGCGACCGCTAGAAAATGTATCTGGCAGGAAGCCGAGAACACCGCGACTCCATTCGACAGTCATCGTCCCATATTATCGTCTACTTGTTAAAACTGTCTATTTATCGAGCATATAAATACAAAGATGTTACTTTGACGGAGGCCACTAACGACCTCGTCAAATGTTTCAAGCGTATTAATTATGCAAGCGCGGAATGCAGCGGTAACTTTAATTCTGGATATTGAAGTTAAAAATTCGCAATTACGGGGATGTCGAGGTCGCAATAAATTTCAAAATGAGCAATCAAAGCGGTAAACGCTCAATGATGTTGCATAGAATTCACTCGCGTGCTCCTATACTACGTACCAATCTACTTTTTCGTTAGCTTTTGTAGCTCGGGTAATATTGACTCGTACCGTTCAATTGACCATTGCTGGCAGTTTGATAATAAGAAATTTTACGTATTACAAAGAAATTTTTATCTTCCCCTCTACTCGTATATCTTAAAATAAATTTGACACGTCGTTTGTCACAACATCAGTCGGTGATTATAATTGTACGTAATATTTACGCGCGAGACACCAACAGATAATATCAAAGATAAAAAATGATAAAAGAGCAACAAACTCTATGTGATCAATTCACTTACAATTAGTCGCATATAGTTAAAAAACTATCGCAACTAGAACATTTTTATATCAAGATTTTTGGCTCTCCATTATTTTCCACAATTCGCTACTAAAGTAATGACGACTGTTAAGGCCTGTGTTCACGACGCTAGAACTTGGACCAAGTTTTAGCACCGTGGACACAGGCCTTGAGAGATACTGTATCCACCAAATTGCTGTATTGTTATTTTATATCCAATTACTATTCAATTATAATAGATCGCTCATTAATCAATTCATTATTTTGTGTGAAAGTCATAATTGTCACGCGAATTAACGCGTTACGGAGCTGTTTGACAGCTTGGCGCGAGAATCCGTTGATTTTCGAGGCAATGTACGCCGCGATAAATCCGTCGCGGAAATCGCGGGGCGAGTCGCAGAGCGCGGCGCACTTTAATGACCTATATTTCGAATGCCGGGTTTTTGGGCCATCGTAAACGTGCATCGTCCATCCATTCACACGTCCGCCCGAAAAAAAATACAAGAAGAAGATACGGGCGAACAAAAACCCCCAATATCTATTCGCAGTAACCAGAGTACAAACGCGAAAGTGGTTTCTTCGGCTGGTCGCACCCGCCAGCGGCCCGCGCGACTCGAAAAGGGATGGACGCGGAATAAATTTCGCCCGTTCGCGTATTCTCAATAATCGCACGTCGTGTACGAGAGTTTGTCGATATCAACGGCATTTCCCGCCCGGCACGTATGTATGAAATGTATGCACGGATGCGCGACAGCGGGTTTTTGATTGATGCGAGTTCCGCGGTCGGCTACAGCGAGCGTTCGGTAAGTATAGACGGCGGCAATGCCTCACGACAACTTGACATGACGATTTTTAAAGCGATTGAAGCAGCGATATGTATATTAGAGGCGTTACACCCGTCGCTTTTCCTCCCGGAAAAGTCACACCGGTTAATTCTATGAAAGTTTTATCGATTTATTATTTCAAGCCGTCAACCTGAATTTTATTCAGTCCACCGCGTACCGAGCATTGGATTCTCGAGTCTGCGAGGTAAAAGTTTACGAGGCAAAGTTAGCCGAGCTGCAAGCACGAAGGGGGTTCCTTTAATTTCCGAAATATGTATCGCCACGCGCGATTATACGCGCGTGTCTGCGGAAGTGCCGTCGCGCGGTTTACGTATTTATCCAATTCTCGCGGGACATCGTATTCTGTCGTGCGCTGGATACGTGCGCGTACAAGTATCAGCCCGTACCATTGCGAAAGGATAAATCCTACGAGCCGATATCGACAGCGACAGAGCGCGGTGCCGATAAAAGAGTGGGAGGGGGAAAAAAACTACCGGCCGGGCTCGCGAATTTTTCGAAGGGCGAAAAAAAGAATAAAGAGGGAAAAAATATTTGCACAAATACGTTTCTTCGCATCCGTGGAAAAACGCTTGCAAAAATAAGTTTGCAAGCGTTCCACCCGGTATTCTTTGCTGTACTTCAAATTCACCCGTGCTCACGTGCGGAGGGTTGGCGCGAGTGGTAAATGCAAAAATTCCAGGTGCTCCGATACACGAAACGCGAAAACGTCGAATAATACGCGGCAGGAATATTAAAACTGTGTTGTCAATTTACTCGCGCACGTAACGGTACGAAACGAGTGCGGATAAATAGCTCCGCAGTTACATCTAAAAAAACGAGGTGGTTCGAAGTAAAACTAGCGAAACATTTATCGATCAATTCCCAGAAGATGTTGGTATATTGGCCGATGCGCCAATTTACAATCGTTGCGTATTGAACGTAGGTTTAACGTAAATAGATATCGGATGGCAAGAAAAAATGCCAAATGTCACTGAATACGTCATAATATTTTCAATAACGCTTGTGTAAATTATTTATAATTAATGCGTCCTTATTAAAAGTGAAACTTTTAATAAAATTTATGTAAATTTATAATTAAGGCATCCTTATTAAAAGCGGTGCGCCAGATTGAAATAAATCTCGGAGAGATCTCGCTGTTCGATTAAAAATTGTCGCAACGATGACGGCGACGCAGGTCATTAAAGCTGGATCGATCGGCACACATTTACAGGATTATAGTGACAATGAAAAAAAAACTCACGTTCTCTTCGACGGTCTTCTTGATCTTCGCGCTGGCCTCCACCACGGTCTTCCCGGCCTTGTTCACGGCGCTGTACAAGAATCCGCCGAGACTCTTCGCACCAGCCAGTGCCTTCGTGGAAACTGATGGCAGAAGAAGTAAAATGAGAATGAACGCGATGTTCGTGAAAGACGGCTGTGCCTTTCTTCGCAGTTAACTCAAAGTTGAAGTAGAAAAACACCATCGAAGTAGGTCGTAGCTATTACATAAAAATAAGCAAGAGTAAAATTCTGTAACTAATTTTCTTCCCAATAAGAGAGATTACGTCTCTGGGAAAAGTGCTAATTAAAAACTTAGCGCCATTTAACATAATTTTGTTCAGCTTTTTTCCTTGCTTATTTAAAAATGCGAAAAATGAAAAATTTTTATCTGTTGTCAACTGACGAACCAAAGAATCACGCGGTACCGAATCAACGTGCACTGAAGTAGAAAGCACCGTTGAGGCAGGTCGTAGCTGTCACATAAAAATAAGCAAGAGTAAAATTCTGTAACCAATTTTCTTCCCAATAAGAGAGATTGCGTCTCCGAGAAGATCGCTAATTAAAAACTTAGCGCCATTTAACATAACTTTGTTCAGATTTTTTCCCTGCTTATTTAAAAATGCGAAAAAATGAAAAATGTTTAACCGTTAACACTGAGGGGCCAAAAAATCACGCGGCGCCGAATCAACGTGCAAATAGCGTGGCTGGCTCGCCCTAACCCGGATACGTCAGGTAGATTTCTCACGAGACTTCTTCGCCATGAATTCTGACTTCGCCATTTATCACTACCCGATGAGAAAAGGAAACTGGGCATGCGGCGATAGTAATAGGAGCGACCGCGCGGCGCGGATCGCTTTGCCGAAGCGAAACGTTTCGAGATGTCTGACGTTAAATATAATACGAACTATCGCTGTATGTATAACTTTCGCCCCTATTCCATCGCCAGATGTTCCCGACTGTAAATCTGTTACAGTACGACGTGGAGACACGGGAGAAGTCTGGTTTGCAAAATCCAGTACATTTATCTTTAGCTGTTATCCAGTATTGTGAGTCGTCCAGACATACTCAATGTGTGGGTAACGCAATTAAATATAAATATGCAAGTGTGTACACATGCACGCTTTACATGTATAAGTCTTAACGAAATAACGACTTTTTGTTCTTTCAAATCCATAGTTTTGGGATTTAAAACCGCATGAAATATATCGAGTTAAATAAAGAGCCTTTTCTTGTACATCTATTCCATTTTACGCCTCATGCGGCTAACGTATGCGGATAACGGTGGAATATTAACTAAACCGGCCGGTATATTTCACTATTAAAAAAATTAAAAAAAATGTAATAACGTCCCCGTCAAAAACGTAACAGCGTACGCGACGTGCTGAGAGAAATATGCGGCGCATTACACTTTGTCGACTGAACCGCGCCTCATAAATAGATTGCCGTTTGCTCGCGTAACGCATCGACGGCAAGTTACACTGACATTTACACTTTCAATAAAATAGAAAACGATTCACCTCTTCTTATAGCTTTAACGACTCGTGGAAAAGGTCGGCCGGTCTTGGTCTTCGGTCGCATCGTTTCGAACTGCCACGCCGTGGCAGTGTACTTCATCGTGCATACCAACATATCAACCGCGATTCCGTCGTAATCTAAAGCAATTCAGCGGTAGTTTCGCGGAAAATTGTAATTCCGCGAGCGCGCTTTTTTTCCGCTAATTTCATTCGCGGGGATTTTACACACGAAACAGCCACTGCAGGCCAGCTTTAATGTCAAACCCCACAATTTCCGCACGGTCAGATATATACAGGGTGAGTCTTTCCATATCCGACAAAATTTTTGAGAAGGTAGAA